ACAGGCAAAGAGCTTCCAGGTACACCCAGGAGACACCATCGCCAGTGACATCTACAGGTGAAGTGCCTTCGGAGACACCCAGGAGGCCTTATCCTCTATACCCAAAGACCCTCCAGCAACACTAGATGGAGCTGGTCAGGCGAGGGGCCCTGCAGCTCAGGGATACGATGGGGAAAAAGCATGTCCTTAGAGCAGGGAGCTAAGAATCAGGCCCATTGTACAGCAATCCCAGGCCGATCTGTTCAAATCTGGGAGGGGGCATCAGTGCTACAGTGTGGGAAGGAGAATCCCAGCACTGACACCTCCCCTGCCCCTTCCCCTTTTCCCACACACAACCAGGATGGCTATTTCCATTCAAAAGAGCTACGGGACCACAAACGGGACTGCCCCGTAGAGGAGCTCTGGCTGCCTCTCCCTGCTGTGGTGCGGAAGCATACACAGCAGACTGGGAGGCTCCTTCCAAGCACGAATTAAGCCTCACAAACACACCCTAGGAGAGAGAGCACAGTTACTGGAGGGTAAACTGAGGCACAGTGAGTGAGCAGAATCCAGGAGTCATGAGTTCCAGTCCCCCTGATCTAACCAAGAAACCCCACTCCTTCTCCCAGAGCTGGAACAGAACCCAGGAGTCCTGACTCCCAGCCCCCTGCTCTAACCACCAGACCCCACTCCCCTCTTACAGACAGGAACAGAACCCAGGTGTCCTGGCGCCCAGCCCCTGCCCTCACCACTAGACTCCACTCTCCTCACAGCACCAGGCACAGACCCCTGGTGTCCTGGCTCCAGTCCCCTCTCCTTTAAACACTAGCTGCCTGTCTCCGTCGCCTGCACTTTGTGTGTCATTGACCTCGGGGTAGCAAACACTCCCACTCCGGAGCATTTCACGCCTGCCTCGCACTCACTGCTCCGGCAGCTGGCAAAGCCCCACAGCTCCCAGGGGAGAACTCCCCCACCACGTGCCCCACGGGGGGGCTTTCAGCCCATGGCTGGGAGGGCACAGAGATGGTGGAAGCCAGTTTTGCCTCCTCCTCCCTTAGGCTGCACCTCCCTGGAGTCACAAGAGATGGCAAGAACCTGGGGCCACGGCCCATCTTTCCGTTCTGTGTCTGTACAGCCCAGGCACAGTGGGGGCCGGGGCCATGATTGGTGCTTCTGACCGCTACCGTAAGACACCTAATAAAAAACATACAGGCCCAGCACAAAGAGGTCTTGGTTCATGACTAGGGCTTGTGGGCGCTACTGTAATACACCTAATAAATAATGTACAGCGCCTAGCGCAGTGGGGGCGTGGTCCCTGTCTGGGGCTCATAGGCCCTACCGCAATCCACAGAATAACACAGACTCTCAGCCCCTTTGCCCTGGGGTATGTGCCACCCCGAGGGGAACTGTGTAGACTAGGGAAACAGGGTGTTAGCAAACCCCTTTAAACTGACGTGGTTGGAAACGACCGTGCAGACTGACCTGCCAAATGCCCCAGCTGGTCACGGTCAGCCTGGGGGTGCTGAGACCTTGGCCAAGTATGTACGGGTGTAGCTAGGCCAGGATCCGTACCAGCAAAGCGCTCCTGATACAAGCAAAGCTGTGCCTTTCCCACGACGGCTTAGCCCAGCCCCAGCGAGCAAAACAAGCTAGCCCAGTGAAAGCAGTTTTGCCAATATAAGTGCACCTGCGCTAGGGGATTCTGCCAGCACAGCTGTGTCGGTCTGGGAACCCCCCTCTTCACACCCCCGGCTGACAGAGCAATGCCGGCAGAAATCTGTACTTGTCTACACTAGTTGTCCTGGTTTAGCTACGCCGGATTAGTTAAAGCCATAAAACCCGAGTGTGGACGCAGTGCTGTAGGTGTATAGCTTACTACCAGTACTGCTTACTAGTACAGCTATTCCCATTCAGGAAGAGGAATTAGCTATACTGGGTCATGACACCTTTATACTGGTTTAAGGCACCTTTATGCCAGTATAACTGGACCCACACTAGGAGTTGTATCAGTATATTGGTAAAAATCCCCTCCCTAGCGGAGATGGGCACCACAGGACAAACACTGCGTGGAGAGCTGGCTAAGGGGATGTCTACTCTGCAATCATGGGGCGTGCCGAGCTCACACGGCCAGACCTGAGCTACCGGTAATCTAACTCGCCTGGGTACTGCGGGCGTCGCGTCAGTGCAGGCCAGCTGCCCGAGTAATTACCCAGAGCTCCAGCTGGGGTTGTACAGCCTGCGCTGAGACCTGGGCAATCGCAAGTCCACGGCTCCAGGATCCGAGTTCGCTAGGTCAGACTGGGCTACGTCTGCAGTCTCAGCCTGTGGCTGCAGTGTAGACGTCCCCTTAGTTACAATTCAGGCAGCTAAAGTGGTTCCAGGAGTGTTCTCTTCTGTCCACACCAGTCTCTGGCAGCTCGCTAGAGGTTGCTGGGCTTTAATACAATGTGTTTGACGTCACATCTTTTAGCCTTGTCTTCATGGGGGGAGAATAAAGCTGCCACTTCTGCCACAACATATCCTGGAATACCACCACAGCCCCCTCCCCCGGTGCAGACATTCCAGTCTGAAATCCAAGTGACTTTCCATAGAGTGCCCAGCTGGGGAGGCTAGTCCATTTCTCCAGGGAGACCAGCCTTAGGGAAACTGGTGTACGGATGAGGCCTAAAAACACGTTAGTTCTGGTGCGTCAGGGCTTGTCTACACTGGGAAGTTCATTTGGATTAAGGCGGGGGTGAGTGATCGCGTGAGAGCGATTGTGGAGTAACTCCGGGGGCAGCCCAGCCGGTAGCTGACACCATCTGTTCTCTAGCCCAGCACGTCCTTTGCTCCAGAGCTGGCGATCGCAGCCTACCATGCGCTAAGCACGAGGCAGCACCGTCTTCCAGAGCTGGGAGTAGACCCAGGCTCCGGCTGCCTGCTGCTCTCGCCATTCGACTGAGCATACGTGGCCAAGGGCACGTTGGAAGGATCCCCAAGGGAGGTCATGGAGTCACCTGGCCCTGGGATAAGGCTGGGGGAAGAGAGGAGGTGACAGCTGAGGAAGAAGCCCAGGATGGAGGAAGGGGAGAGACCCCTGGCGGGAAAGGGGCCTGGCTCCCACAGGACAGTAGCAGAGAGCAGGGTGTAGAAGGGCGGCGTAGATCAGACAATGGGAGCTGATGGGGACCAGCATCCCGCAGGGTCAGGTCTCGCAGACCACTCCTTCGCCATCCCCTCCTGGGGATGGCAGGACGGCCTGTGATGGGCGGAGCTGGTCCCCAGCAGGGGAGACATGGCAAGGGAGCCCTCAGAGGGGGATGGAGCCAAAGCCAGGGACAGAAGCAGCTAGAGAGAAGGCGAAATCAACACAGAGCAGTTCCCAAAAGGCTGCCCCTTCCTGGAGCGCTGGGGCGGCCTACGGAGCTTCCTCTGGCTGTGAGGAGAGAGAGAGGAACGCAGCCCACTAACCTAGGTGGTGTGCAATGAAACGGACAGAGATCAGAGCGAGAGCCGTGGAGGAGGGGAAAGGGATGGATGGAGAGACAGACAGGCTAGCTAGATGTGTATGGGGACAGATCAAGGGAGGGAGGAGGCGAGCGGGGGATCGGGGGCGTGGAGTGAGTGGCACTGGAGAGCCCCCGCCACGGTACATACACTGAGATTATTTCCTCGGGATCGCACCTTCCTCCTCTGCCAGAGCCAGACAAGACGGTGCACACAGAAAGGGAAAGAGAGAGAGAAGAAAATAAATATAAAGGCAAAGAAGGGGGCTTGGGAGGGGGGCGGGAGGACACCAGGAAGGGCGGGGGGTGGGGAGGGGAGAAGAGACTCGGTTATCGGTCAGTTACAGATGGGGGCTTCTTCCATCCTGCAGCCACGCGTGCTCCCAGCACCCAAGCCAAGCAGGGGGCCGGCAGAGGCCCCAGAGGATGGAGGGGGAGCGGGACGCATGGCGTGAGCAGCGGAGGATGAGAACAGCGCGGGCAGGAGCAGCCCCCCCTCCCCAGCCCCCCACTCCTGTGCATGCTGCAACAGAGCAGGCTCCAGCCACCCTGCGTCCCAGCCGTGCCGCTGTTAAAAGCTGCAGTGTCACTGCTTGGATCGACCTAGTCCCCCTGCCCCTGTGAGCCTGATCCAACGCCTGCTGCTCTCCAGGGAGATGCTTTGGGATGGGCCCTCACTCCGCAGCCCCGGGGGTGGCGTGCTGTGCCCCGGCCTAGCCCCCCCGCAGTTGGGGAGTGCCAAAGGAGGTCAGCGGCGAGGAAGCAGCAGGCTGAACTGGCTGAGTCTGCAGCCAGGCGGGATTTGATGACCCCCCTCCAATGGCACACGGGGCATTAAATAAAGCCGGGGGGAGGGCAGAGCATGGCAGAAGAACCTGAAGTAGGGGGGAAGTGGGAGGGTCTGTAGCAGCTACCCAGCCAAGCTGTCGGCTTTGGGGGAATCCCTTATTCCCCCACCTCCAAATGGTGATTACTTGGATCCAGCACCTGGGTCTAAGGGGAGTGGAGCTGCTGCCCAGTCCCTGTTGACTCTGAAGGCTAAGGACTACGTGTCCCGTCACCACTGCTAACTGTCCTTAAAACCAGTCAGGGCAGAGGAGCGACAGTAGAAGCGGCCCTTCTCAGTCACCACCTCGTCTCAGAGTGATGCCTGCAGGGGTCGCAAGCTCCGGCTGCCAGAGCTCCCCTGGGGGTGCGGAAGGATTTTAGTGATGGGGTGATGGAGACAGAGAGGGGAAGAGACTCACCCAGGGTCACACACTGAGTCAGTGACAGAGACAGGGAAAAAAACCCAGGAGTCCTGACTCCCAGCCCCTACTCTAACCACTAGACCTCACTCCCCTCCCAGAGCTGGATACTGAATCCAGGAATCTGGACTCCCAGCCCCCTCTACTCTAACCATTAGGCAACATGATGTGTAGGGAACGCTAATCAGTTCAGGGTCTGTTGGCTGGGCCCCTGCGTTGCTAGCCCAGCCAGGAGGGGAGACTCAAGGGTGGAGGGCCCAAGGGACAGCTTGAGGGGTGGAGGCGGCCCCAAGACCCTTCCCCTCCTTCCTTCGGCCCCTAAGGAACAGTGCAGCCTTTAGCAGGTGTCTCGCCCTCCTCCTGCCCTGGCCCAAAGGCCAATGGCTACCCACGAAGCTCGCTAAAAAGCTCATGCAACAAGGAAATGAAAATCAGAGCAAATCTCCTCCAGCACGTAAGTCACTCGCTGCCCCAGTCGCCTGCAGAGCCGTCAGCCTTCGGGCCCCGGTGCGGGTTTGACCGATCCTGCCTCAGAGTGGCCACTAGGTGTCTGTCTAGCTCCACAGGAACCAAGCCCAATCGTTATCTGGCAGTGGGACCGGCCCCCGAGTCCCTTAAAGGTGAGGACTAGCTCCCGGTAGCTCCGATTTGCCACCGACCGGGTAGAAACCCCTGCCAGTCAAGGGATCCGATGTGGATTTGCGCCCTCTGGGCCACGCTCTACCTTGGTTTACAGGGGCATAAACCGAGGGAGAATTTGGCAGGTTAGACACAAACTTTTCAGGCTAAAGAAGTATTGGCGGTGACGGGAGTTTTTAATCTTGACGTTGCGATATGTCACTGCTGTCCCTTGCACACACACGCCACACGCCCACCCACCCGGGTGTACTTAGCTCCGCGCTACGGAGACTGCCCGGGTCAATGCTCCTCTGCTCCTCAGTACGCGAAGAAAGACATCTGCTTTGGGCATGCGTACCAACACCCCGTCCCCCAAGCCACGCTCAGGGTTGCGGCATTGGGAAGGTGCCCAGGATGGCCTGGGCGGGGGGGTGTTTCTGTTGCTCTGAAGCATGCTTCATGCCAACATGGGAAGCTCATGTTATAAGCTCGATGGAACCAGCAGCGGCAATGGTCTTTGCTCAGATGCATTGCGACAGTATGAGTTCGCCTTCAGCGGAGGGAGAGGGTCACCTTAGTCAATGACGCGCATGTAACACGCGGGCATGGACAGGCCAGGGTTGGCTATCAGCCCTGCATGGAACCGAGAGGTGAATCCCACCCAACAGCTTCAAAGCAACCGACGCACGTTAACACGTTACACCTCACAATGCTCCCACCCACCGGGCTGGTAAGCCAGATCGCCCCCTGTTTTGAACATGGGGAAACTGAGGCACAGACAGGGGAGGTGACTTGTCCCAGGTCACACGGTGAGGCAGCAGCAGAGCTGGGATGAGAACCCAGGAGTCCTGACTGTCAGTCCTCTGCTCTGACCACTAGAGATGATCTCTCCCGTAGCCAAGGAAAGAGGCCAGGAGTGTATTAGTGTATTAGATTACACTGCCTCTTAACATGTCATGGTGCCTCCGACGCTGGGATCAGCTCTAAAGCCCAGGTCTCGGCTCTGCTCTCCTGACCACAAAATCCTCCTCCCGTTTTGCTGCTGCTCTCAAGGAAGAATTTTGCATTGTTACAAGATTCCTTTTTTTTTTTTTGAGCCTTTAATCCTTTCATCTTCCCTGGGAGAAATAACTCCATTCCCCCCTTTAATTTCCCTCAGCTGCCCCTTGGTTACAATGACCTCCCCTCTGGCGCAGGCTGCTGAACAGGGCTCTCTTTGGGGCCTGCCCATGCTGCTCCTTTGGTCACCAGAGGGGGGCGCTAGTAAAGTGACATCATAAGATTATTAGCAAGCTTTGGTTACTGATACAAAGTGAGACAATGACTCTTGCGACTCATCGATATTCTGGAGGGGAAACTGCAGTGTCAGGGTTACTGAGTTGTTGTCCCAGCAACAGACCGCGACGTCATGGTAACAGAGACTGCAGTGTCACGGTAACATGGACCATGGCTTGGATCTCACAGTTATGGAGAGCATAATAATACGGTTCTGGAGATGCTGTTGTTATGGTTACACGGGTTAAAGTGGGCTTGCACCTTCCATGCATTTGCTCTTGGGAGATGCAGCATAGAATCTAGCTTTTCCCAAAGGAAGGGTCAATTTCACACATTGGTAAAATGCAGCCACCTCTGGGGTGGAGCACAGCAGCCGCTTAGTGCAGAGCAAGGCTACACAGCCGTTTAGGGAAAGACATGAAGAAAGAATTCTGCATCCAACTGGAATCACAGGAGGAATTTAGGGAAGCAGCTGAAATTGAAATCTGGCTGGGACAAATGTCCCAACCCCTAGGAATAGTGCAATGGGATTTTTAACAGCCTCATCTCAATGGATTGCGACTTTAAGCATCACCTCCTGCAGCACAGCACCTTCTAGCATGCCTCCCCTCCGTCCCCCATCATCCTCTGCTGAATCAACACCACCTGCTGGAACTTTCCCGTGAGGTCTCCCAAGTGGGGACCTGGCCCACCCCTGCTTAGCAAGTGAATTGCCAGCAGCTCTCAGCACGGGGTGACATTGCTGCTGGAGACAACGAAAGCCAATGTCCAAAGTCACTTTTACTGAGTAGGAGCTGGGAGGTGATTTTTCCCATCTAAGGCTTTGGTGAGACTGACACTGGAATAGTGGGTCCAGGTCTGGAGCGTCCACACTATAAAAACGATGCTGAAAAACTGGAAAAGGTGCAGAGGAGTGTCATAAAAACGATCCGAGGGCTGCAGAATTTCCTGGCAGGGAGAGACATAAGGAGCTGATCAACAAGAAGATGGAGAGGTCAGAGGTGATTTGATTACGGGGCCCGGGGAGAGATCCGGGGCACTGAAGGGCTCTTTACTCTAGCAGAGAAAGGCAGAAGAGCCACCACTGGCTGGAAGATAAAGCCAGACAGACCCACATTTGGGTCTGCTGAGCTCCTTCAGACTCAAGGGAAGGAGCAATTAAGCCCTTTTGTGGAGTAGAGAGAGGAACAGACAATGGAGAGACTGCCCAAGACAAAAGGCAGATCAGAGCTAACCTGTGTGGACTGGTCTGTCTTCTCTGCATGGTTAATTCAGGTGTGAGCATCCCCACTGCAAAGCTTGACCTGAATTCCTCTCTCCTCACGGGTTCTGCTCTCACCCAGGTGTGTCATGGCGCTGTCTGCTGAGATGCAGTGGGATTCTTCCCAAGTCAATGGCAGGAGAACGTATCTGTCTGTTAGGAGGAATTGTGGGAAGGGCACCGAAGAACTAGCAGGTTCCAGACTGAGTTAAAGCAGAGCCTGGGTTCTAACTCCCATCCCCAACCGAGTCAAATAGCCAGGACTTAAAGCCCTTCCAAACCCAGGTCCGAGGCTTTTCTGTGTGGATGGTAGGAGGGTTTGGGCTAAAACCCAGCTAAGAACCAGGGTTCCATGGGCAGTGAAGACATGCCCAAAGAGGCAGGAAGCCAGTAGCAGTGAAGCAGAGAGACAGAGCCCGCTGAAGTGGCACACTGGGGATTCCTGAATGAGGAACCCGCCTGCTGTTGTTCAGGGAAACAGGACTTGGTGTAAATGTTTTTTGTAACTAAAACCAGATCACACCAAAGAACAGCAAGGTTCTCTCCCCTGTGACGGGCGGGCGATCAGCCTCGATGATCTAATGGTCTCTTCTGGTCTGGCACTCTAGGGTGCTATGAATTTCAAAAGGTATCTCTTGCAATCTGGGCCCAATCCTGAGTCCCCGCAAGGGATTGGTTCACTTTGTATCAGTCCAGGAGCGATTCCCCGTTTGAAATGCACTTGAATGAGAAATTCCCCGTTTTCGGGGGACGACCCGGGCTCCCAGCAGGGGTGTCAGTGTGTTTGGCAGTGGAATCCCTGGATGGTTCCAAAAAAAAGCCCCTCACCTGGTTTTCAGCGGGGAGTCGCGGCATGGAGGCCGCCCGGCCGTGCCCTTCCATGGGGAGGTAGTGGTCGCTGTCTGAGTAGCCGTCCTTCCCAATCTCTCTCATCTCCACAGACTGCAGAGGGCAAGGCAAAGAGAGGGTCACCTGATAAAGGGGCGTCACCCCCGTTTTACAAGTGGGGAAACTGAGGCACAGAGCGGGGCAGGGACTTGTCAGAAGTCCTTCACAAGTCAGGGATACCCTGGGAATAGAACCCAGGAGTCCTGACTCCCAGCCCTCCCTGACTCTAACCCACTCCTCTCTCAGACTAGGGAACATAACCCAGCTCCCCTGGCTCTAACTACTAGACCCCACTCTCCTCCCGGAGCTGGAGACAGATCCCAGGAGTCCTGACTCCTAGTCCCTGGCTCTGGTCAGGACACACAGAACACTGCTGCTGAAAATCGTAATCCCAGGTTCAGTTCTTCCTCCCAGTGTCCTGGATTCCCGCCCAGCCGGAATCACCGGAGACACCCTGCATCTGGAGCCCTCCACAGCTGCGTGCAGCTGAGCCTCTGGAACTGCCTGGGGGGACGGGGGCTGCTGGGGCGGGGAATCTGTCATTCTCATTACCCCTTGGAGAACGGCGAAGTGCTCAGCTCGGGGACCAGGCCTGACTAGCCCTCTGACTGAGCTTCTCCACATAACCCAGCCCTAAGGGGTCAGACCTGCCCCCCGCTCCTGAACAGAACGGTGGGAGTGGGGGGGACAGATACATAGAGAGACAGAGAGACAGAGATGGGTGTGTATGGGGATAGACAGATAGGTGGGTGTGTACGGGGATGGACAGATTGTGT